ATATATATATATATATATATATATATATTATCCGCAAGTAATGAGCTAAATCATATTTTACTAACAGCTGTTATATAGGCTACTGTAGATTTACACTTGTTGTCTTTTTAAATTTCATAGCATTTTTACATTTTCCTACTTAGTAACGTGTTTAGAGTGGGCCTACTAATTTAATAGGTAGGCCTATACATTCTGAATTGGAACATCACCAAGGCAGTTTCGATACCGTGGGAGGGTGATTATCATGATCATAAAAGTGACGTCAACGTCGCAACCTTTAGCAGCCAAGCGAGGCTGGAGGGTTCAGAGAATCTGGCCAGGTAGAGGAGCCGTCAGGTTATAGGGAAACCTGGGTCTAAGGAGCCAAGATCAATTGTTTGGGTGCATATTATGCACTGGAGTCATCAGGCGGAAAAATGTACGTGAGTTATCTCTTGGAGAAGGACACCAGTATGTACCCAAATTCCGTAAGACACCCAAGCCTAAACCTGAACCCTCAGAAATTTATATTGTATAGCATTCACTGTACTAATAATATAAAAAATGTGATTGCATATAATCAGTGCTGTCTAAATATGTAACGTTTAAACCATGCATACCCTGTAAAATCTAAAATGATTATTTTACGACCACGATCTTTGCCTTATTCGCACTGTAGACATTCTTATTTGTTTTGAATCAACTGATTATCGAATGTCGTGTGTTATATACCTATATAACTTTATGTATATAGATTGCAATAATACAGTTTTGAAAAAAATTACGCTAAAAAACTGGTAGGTCTAGTTTTGTTTGCCATTAGGCTATATCATAAAAATACAGTGACACTTACGGCATTTTAGTCACAGTATTTACAGGTAATGTAATTAAATCATACAAATAGTATACATTTGGGCTATTTTTTTAATGTAAAATGATGATAGCACATGTGGCAAAATGGAAGGCCACATAAGCATTGAAGTTAATGATCATTATTTTATCCTGCCATGTTTCCAATAAAAAAGACAAATGCAAAAAACAGCACTGAACTAACAACATAAATGTATTACAAACACCAATCTTATGAAAACAAAAATAAGAATAACTTGAACTTCAAATAAAATCGAAACAAATATGATGGTGCGCACAAGGAATTTTGGGAATTCCTGTTTCCCGCTAAGCTTACATTTTTATTTCTAAACAATATCATTTTAACAAAAGCCGATTTTACCTTAAAAATAGATATACATAATTAATTATTAAATACAATATATATATATATTTCAGAGAATCTGGCCAGGTAGAGGAGCCGTCAGGTTATAGGGAAACCTGGGTCTAAGGAGCCAAGATCAATTGTTTGGGTGCATATTATGCACTGGAGTCATCAGGCGGAAAAATGTACGTGAGTTATCTCTTGGAGAAGGACACCAGTATGTACCCAAATTCCGTAAGACACCCAAGCCTAAACCTGAACCCTCAGAATTTTGTACCCGCACCTCCTCAGTATCCGGACTTCACAGGATACCATCACGTCTCTGGAATTACCAGCGACCCTCACCACAGCCAGCCAGGAGCCTGGAATCCCGCGTACCCTCCTCCGCGAGAGGAATGGACAACTTATGGGCCGGTAACCGGACCATCGACCTCGAGCACTGGTCAGCTGGGTTTCAGCCCTCCAGAGTTTTCATCTGTTCAAGCGTCCGGCCTTCTTCCATCCTCCATAAACGCATCAGTCGGTCAGCTGTCGCCGAACTCTCAGAGACGGAACCCGTACGACTGGATGCGTCGGAGCGCGCCGCCGCCAAACTCAGGTGCATTATTTTAAATCTATATAAATGTTTAAAAAAAAAAAAAAAAAGGAAAATAAAAGTTATTATATTTTGAAAAATATAATATAATAATTATTATAGAGAACAATAACTATTGTGATCGCAAAAAAAAAAAAGGCCTGCTATGTACATGTCACGGGAAAACTACTGCTAAACTCGGTCTCGCAATAGTTTGGAAGCAAACTCTTCTGTATTCACGCGTTTGTCATGCTAATATAGTGATTTATGTGAGTTTCTTTGCTTTGATGTAACTCTTTGTTCTTTTTTGCCTGGATGCCGTGAAGTTGTTGAATACACGGATGCGCATGTGCAATTAACATTTAGTAGCTAGTAAAATAGCAGAAAGTGAAAAAACATAGAAAATAAAAAATAGGAAAAATAATTTAAAAGATTAATTATTCGTATGATTATGCCTTTTTAGAAAACAATACAATATGCAACAGAATAAAAACTCAATTCCAGCTCACAGGACTGGAAGAAATGTCAGCAAAACCTGCAGTTAAAACTTAAATTCTGTGGATCTTACTGATTATGGAAAAACTGAATAAAAAATTAAGAACATTTACTGTTTACATGTACAGTTGGGCCGAATATTTCTGCCCAGTGGTAAACAATGAGATTTGGAATTATTGCAATTACTGTTAAAAAAATAAAAAAGAAGAACTTTGATATTTCAGCACATTGTTAATAAGGCATTTTATCCCTGTCAGCTCAGGATCCCCTATATTATGACCGGAACTCAATTCCTACTCATATGTACACTGTAAAAAAAATCTGTGACATTTACGGTAAAATACCGGCAGCTGTGGTTGCCAGAACTTCATTGTAAAAAATATGGTAGCAACATTTTAGGTTTTACAGACTTAACTTAAATTCACAATAAAATACCGTATTTCATTAACTGATGTAATGTTAATAAACCAACATATTGAAGTGTTAATATCTGTTTTTACTGTAAATTATACAATTACTTATTCTTTTTCACTTCCAAAAACTATTTTTAACAGTATTTTACTGTAAAATTACATTAAATGTAATTACATTTATTCACCGAATATAGTATGGAAACTTACTGTTAACCAGTTAACAGGTTTTTACTGTAGCATTTCTACAGTCTTTTACTGTTAAAATCACAATCATTTTTTACAGTGTATGCCATACCATGACATCATAGTCAAGTTGGAGAATTTGTTGTAAATTTAGTTGGATCTGTTTCTTTGTAAACACTTTCAATCTTAGTTTTATAGGCCTAATACCTTTGAAAAATAGATATGCCATTAAATTAGAATCTTGAGGCAATTCCTCAAGACTGTCATTTTTAATTGCCACACATTAAAATACAACTCAGTAACCAGACGGTCTCATTGAAAAGTCTGGAGCCAAGCCTAAAATTATGTCTTATTAGCTCACTCTCAGTATTATTTTAAAGTTATAAACACTAAGATGCATTTTATGTAACACAATTAAATACCTGGCTTTTTAAATGGAGAATTGTGAGAGTTGCTTGGCCGGGTTAATGATACCAAGAGATTATGGCCTCTAGTGAGATTTTCAGTGAAGATGCTATGGTTGAGAAGCCTAATTATCTGGAGTTCTGTTGCCCTAGACAGGCGCTGTCCTTCCCTTTGCCGTTCATGTTTTAATATTTAACCTGTGGCCACTTAAGTCCCCTCTTGCCGCTGACAGGGTAAACTAAGTTTGAAATATGGAGACACGATTCCAAAGACCTTTATAACATGGACATCTTGGTGTTTTATATATGTGTGCTTTTGACGATTGGCTTGATTAAGGGAGCAAACACTGTGTTCCCAAAGTTACTTTTTAATAGAAAAGATAAACACATAATGACATTAACTAAAAAATTACTCTTTATTTCTATCACATTATCATTAATTATAGTCAGTTTTATTTGTTTAGCAGTTCTCACAATACATATTGTTAGCTTTACAAAAAAATCATTTTTCAGTACCCTCAGTGAGTAAAAAACTACTTAAAGAATTTTTTTTTTGTTATGCCATTTGTCTTTAAGGGGTGAAGACCAGAACAAAAGACAAATATCGGGTAGTGTACACGGATCATCAGCGACTGGAGCTGGAGAAAGAATTTCATTACAGCCGTTACATCACAATAAGAAGAAAAGCAGAACTGGCAACAACACTCAGTCTGTCAGAGAGACAGGTTAGCTGCTCCAATACTGTCGACAGTCGACATATTCATAGAAAACACATTCTTCATCTACACTCTTAAAAATAAAGGCTCCAAAAGGGGGTTTTGCAGTGATGCCACAAAAAATAATAATAATAATAACTTCTGGTTCCCCAAAAAAAACATTTCAGTCGACAGTTTTTAACAGTTAGTTTTTTCTCCTAGTGTGAAGAGCATTTTAAAAAACCTAAAAACCTTAATTTTTCCACTTTAAAGAAACGTATGTTGAATGGAAAGTTTCCATGGATGTTAAAGGGGTCATATGATGCGATTTCATTTTTTCCTTTCTCTTTAGAGTGTTACAAGCTCTTGGTGCATAAAGAAGATCTGTAAAGTTGCAAAGACTAAAGTCTCAAATCCAAAGAGATATTCTTTATAAAAGTTAAGAGTTAGCCACACCTACCTAAAACGGCTCGTTCGAACACGCCCCCACATACCTACCTCACTATGTGGGAAGATTTGCATAAAGCCGCCCAAATGTTCACGCAAAGAAAGAAAGCGTAACTACATCAACTTAGTGCTGTGGATCGCCGGCACATTTTATGGAGGACTGTTTACTGATCCTGGGAGAGTAACGTTAGACTAAAATGGCAGTTCTGACTCACGTAAGTACGTTTTCTTTTATCATTTGCCACTGATGATTCAAACGCGGGTTTTGGGCAGTGTGGATTAACGTTAGCACTTGTTGTTTGTCATTTCTCTGATCACAAATGTAGACATGGTTTTATGTTTACGCGGCGCAATGCATCGCAACGCGTAAAAAGACAGTATAAGTCTTTATAATCAGTAATTATGTCCCCACTGGATTCAACAAATGCCTCGTTTGTAATGGGTTTTAATGTTTTTGTGCTCCGGCTGGGACACGCCATCACAGTATGTGAGGGGCGTAACATTTCCGTCTCACGCTTGAGGCTAAAATGCCGGCAGTTCTGACTCACGTAAGTACGTTTTCATTTAAAGGATTTGCCACTGATGATTCAAACGCGAGTTTTGGGCAGTGTGGATTAACGTTAGCACTTGTTGTTTGTCATTTCTCTGATCACAAATGCAGACATGGTTTTATGTTTACGCGGCGCAATGCAACGCAACGTGTAAAATGACAGTATAAGTCATTATAATCAGTTATTATGTCCCCACTGGATGCAACAAATGCCTTGTTTGTAATGGGTTTTAATGTTTATGCCTCGTCGCTCCGGCCTGACACGGCATCAGCAGTATGTGAGGGGCGTAACATTTCCGTCTCATGCTTGAGGTATTCGGCCAATCACAACGCACTGAATAGCTGGCCAATCACAGCACACCTCGCTTTTTCAGACCGATGAGCTTTGTAAAAATCGACGCGTTTCAAAAAGGCGGGGCATAGAGGAGAAACAATAATGTACAGTATGTGGAAAATAATGTGTTTTTTTAACTTTAAACCGCATAAACACATTTCATTACACCAAATACACCAAATAATGTTCTTTTTAGCAGCATCATATGACCCCTTTAAAGGCTCTTCATGCACTCTTAAAAATAAAGGTTCTTTTTTGGAGTTTATGGTTCCATGAAGAAGAACATCCTTCGTACACTTTCCAAAATTGGTTTTGGGTTCCCTAAAGAACCTTTTAAAGAACAACTCTTAAAAGAAGCATTTTATTCTTGAATGTGAAGAACATTTGAACAATCTTAAGATCTTTTTCCATTATAATACTTTATAAAAACTTTTGTGGAATGGAAAGGTTCCGTGGATGTTAAAGGGTCTTCACGGAACCATATGCCAATAAAGAGTCTTTATTTGAAAGAATGTACATTTTCATTCCACTAATAATGGAAAAAATGGTTCTTTTAAGAATTGTTCACAGAGGTTCTTTCGGGAACCAAAAATGGCTCCTATATGGCATCGCTGCGAAACCCATCTAGGTAACCTTAAAGCTGATTGCGATTAGGGATGGGCGTATCGATCCGAAGTATCGATATATCGATACTGATGCGAGCATCGGAAGTATCGATACTCAAACAATACATATCGATACTAAGGTGTGTTTTATTTACCAGTGATTTTGTTTATTTAACAAAAAAATTATCGGTATCGCCCATCCCTAATTGCGATCACTGGTGTGTAGATGAAATATACAATGCAACTTTTACCTCAATAACTACAGGAAAAAAAATGTTTTTCAGTATGACTTATAGCGTGCTGTTGACAGGTGAAGATCTGGTTCCAGAACCGGCGTGCTAAAGAGAGGAAAGTCAATAAAAAGAAGATGCAACAGCCGCAGCCGGCATCCACATCGGTATCGGTATCGATATCGACAATACTGCCTTGAAAAATATCGGTATCATATCGAAAACAAAATAAGTGGTATCGCCCATCCCTAATTGCGATCACTGGTGTGTAGATGAAATATACAATGCAACTTTTACCTCAGTAACTCTACAGAAAAAAAAATGTTTTTCAGTATGACTTATAGCGTGCTGTTGACAGGTGAAGATCTGGTTCCAGAACCGGCGTGCTAAAGAGAGGAAAGTCAATAAAAAGAAAATGCAACAGCCGGCATCCACAACCACATCAACCCCACCTGGTTCAGCTCTGCCAGGCAATGTTCCCATGGTGACAAGCAGCAGCGGTGGCCTGGTATCACCATCTATGCCAATGACTATCAAAGAAGAGTACTGAAGATGTGCAGACTTTGACTGTTAGCTGTTTTTATACAGAGCCCTTTCACACTTTTACACACTTTCATATCAACTCATCAATGAAAACACAACAACCGTGATAAAGACTGTGGAAAAATATGAATGAAAAGTAGTCAACAACCATTGAAAAGTAATGCAGCAACATTCTAAGATGAATCTTTTGTGTAATATTCCTCTGGTCGTGTCGGATTCTTTATTCTAGTACTTTATTACTGCTGTTTTTTTGCTCATCACTGTAAACTTTCATATGTGACCCTGGAGCACAAAAGCAGTCTTAAGTCGCTGGGGTATATTTGTAGCAATAGTCAAAAATACATTGTATGGTTCAAAATTATTGATTTTTCTTTTATGCCAAAAATCATTAGGATATTAAGTAAAGATCATGTTCCATGAAGATATTTTGTAAATTTCCTACCGTAAATATATCAAAGCTTAATTTTTGATTAATAATATGCATTGCTAAGAACTTCATTTGGACAACTTTAAAGGCGATTTTCTCAATATTTTGATTTTTCTGCACCCTCAGATTCCAGATTTTCAAATAGTTGTATCTCAGCCAAATATTGTCCTATCATAACAAATCATAACAAGCTTATTTATTCATGATGTATAAATCTCAATTTCAATAAAATTGACCCTTATGACTGGTTTTGTGGTCCAGGGTCACATATGTTTTGAGATTGTAAAAGTGAATTCAAATAACTGTGTATTTCTTAAGTAATTTGTATTAATAAAATAAATGTTTTATTGTGGCAAACTGATTCATTTCACACTTGCCATGGAGAAACCATCCATTTTCATATCTGTTCAAATGTGTCTTCCCACAGATATCAGAAACAGCTGTTTGTGTCAAGCATTGATTTGTCAGTTTTATTGAAGGTGTTCGCATTTTCACCCAGTGTGCTCCTGCGCTTTTCTGCACTTCATCGAAACAGAGAAGAACTGCTAGCGTGCGAGTGAATAGACGGCACTCGAACAGGAGCTGGTGCTGTTTGCACAGTGTAACGGCATCGCTGGATAAGAGACGAGTGCACGCTGAGAAACTGTGAGTTATTTCATTATCAAGCACACTCTGGACTCTCTTATCAACAGTGTGACAGAGAAGCTCAGCTCTACGGCGTCGCTGCAACAGGGTCCTGTTTTATGACCACATTAACAAAGCCAGGGTGTGGCGTCCAAAGGCCGAGGCGAAAGGGACTGTTGAGCAAACAATATGCATCTGCCTGCGTACATGTCAGTTCGCAGAGAGGGTCCATATGTCCATACTGAACCTTCATCTTCATCTCTGTGAACGGTATATTTAGGTTAGAGAAGATATTGTGATCAGTATCTTTAGCTCTTCATGGCCACCACATATTCATGCTACAGAAATAGAAATTATATTCTGTTAGACACACACTCTCAGAAAAAAAGGTGCAACAGCTGTCACTGGGGCGGTACCTTTTCAAAAGGTACATTTTTGTACCTTTTAGGTACTAATAAGTACACTTTAGGTACTAATATGTACCTTTAAGGTACCATTATGGACTCTTTTGGTACAAAGGTGTACCTTTTGAAAAGGTACCACCCCAGTGACAGCTTTTGTACCTTTTTTTCTGGGAGTGAGAGTGAATTATTCTATCTTAAAACGATGGCACATTTGAACTATATCATTAATGTGTTAATGCATATAGGAGCAGAATAACTGGGTTTTGCAATGTACCTCTATATATATGTATATATATATATATATATATATATATATATACAATAACTTTTATTACATTTTTTAATATCCAAAATGAAATACTGTGATAACACTTTAAGTAGTCGAAGTGAAATCATGAACTTGAACTTTTGTTGTCTAATCTTAAATAATATTGACACATTGGTGACATTAAATGGTTCAAGTTACAAAACCAATGTATCGTGAGTTCTCAAAGTGAAAATGTAATCTCCTGAATTTATGCATATGAGACAAATGTAGCGGCATACCATGTGTCCATGAAAGCATTCTAATGTGTTCTGTTTAATAAAACTAAAAAAGAGGCTTTAATGATTCTTTAGCTCTGTCTTGTTACCTTGTATTGTTCCATTTTTCTTTATCATTGCTCTATTTCTGGTAAGAGGAGAATTGTATAAACAAGCTTGCTGATAGCTGCCTCTGAGGCCATAAAGTTTATTGTGGGCATGTCGTAAAAAATATTCTCACCACAGTAACAAAAACATGTTGATAATGTCCTACATGCAATTCTGTCGGAAGTACAAAGATAACTTTTTATTAGGAAGTCCAAATATTAGTTACAATTCTTGACGCATTTAATAATAGAAGCTGAATGTGTGTCTAAATTGTTCAGATGGAAGAAGAACCCTGAGATTAATTAAAAAGGCAATGCCGTCACAGAAAATTGGTTAACAAAGTATCATGGTACCACTGATTTCCTTGCAGTCCTAATATGAGGTTGAAGACAAATATTTGTTGTTGTTTTATTTTTAATCTTAAAACTACTTTTTTATGTGTGCTATTTAACAAAATAATCGATAAATAGTTAATTAGGGTAAATAGTGTAAAACAAGGTATACCCTTGTCTATCTTCACAAACACTAAACAAACTCATTACCCATCCAGTCTATACTTATACAACTGCTTGTTTACGAGGCTATTGTATCATAAACTTTCAATTACAATAGTTATACCCACTAATAATCTCTATAATGGCGAGAATAATTCTACATAAACACTGGAGCTGTAAAGCAATGATTCTAGTGACTCTATAAATAGCAGATATGGTTAAGTGCCTATGACACCTTTTCGTTGAACCCAGCAGACATACTCACATACTCAAAGAAATACCTGTGCTGTCCATGTTTTTTTTTACTAATACTTATTATCAAACAAATACCTATACAAACACTTCGAAGTACACAAATCAAGTACTTGAGTAAAAGTACAGATACGTATAATAAAATATTACTCCAGTAAAAGTACTCCTTTTTCAAATTTACTCAAGTGAAAGTACAAAAGTAGTCGTTTTTTTATGTACTTAAGTAAAGTGAATAGACGGCACTCGAACAGGAGCTGGTGCTGTTTGCACAGTGTAACGGCATCGCTGGATAAGAGACGAGTGCACGCTGAGAAACTGTGAGTTATTTCATTATCAAGCACACTCTGGACTCTCTTATCAACAGTGTGACAGAGAAGCTCAGCTCTACGGCGTCGCTGCAACAGGGTCCTGTTTTATGACCACATTAACAAAGCCAGGGTGTGGCGTCCAAAGGCCGAGGCGAAAGGGACTGTTGAGCAAACAATATGCATCTGCCTGCGTACATGTCAGTTCGCAGAGAGGGTCCATATGTCCATACTGAACCTTCATCTTCATCTCTGTGAACGGTATATTTAGGTTAGAGAAGATATTGTGATCAGTATCTTTAGCTCTTCATGGCCACCACATATTCATGCTACAGAAATAGAAATTATATTCTGTTAGACACACACTCTCAGAAAAAAAGGTGCAACAGCTGTCACTGGGGCGGTACCTTTTCAAAAGGTACATTTTTGTACCTTTTAGGTACTAATAAGTACACTTTAGGTACTAATATGTACCTTTAAGGTACCATTATGGACTCTTTTGGTACAAAGGTGTACCTTTTGAAAAGGTACCACCCCAGTGACAGCTTTTGTACCTTTTTTTCTGGGAGTGAGAGTGAATTATTCTATCTTAAAACGATGGCACATTTGAACTATATCATTAATGTGTTAATGCATATAGGAGCAGAATAACTGGGTTTTGCAATGTACCTCTATATATATGTATATATATATATATATATATATATATTTTCATAATGATTTTTTTTTCTTCTCGAACCTTGTCTGTGGTGTAAAAACACCCCTGGCCAAATGCCCCCAGAGGGCATCACTTCCCACTTTGATCATTACTGTAGTTACCATGTTCTGAACATCACATCCTTTCTTTCACCCAGATGTAATCTATCTAGGTGGTTGAATAAAAATATTTGGACTTTATATCTAAAAATTACCTCAAATTAGCACCAGCAAGCTTGTTAGCTAGACAGTTAGCATCAGCTAACAATATTTACTTATTTTCAGTATGGTTATGAATAAACATTCATATCTGTCTACTCGGCTAGTTAATCCAAACAATATAAAAATGTATACTGTTGATAAACAATATAAAAACAGACGTCACATAGGGCTAAAATCATAGCATTTTAGTAAAACTGCTAACGTTACAGCAGCGGGGAAGATGAACGTGCATGAGTTAGTTTATTTAATCTGTGTTATTTTAATGATGTTAATGTTAGATTATGTTAATGTTAGATTCTGATGTTAATGTGTCTGCATTCAAGCATTTCAGTGGGCTTAAATAGATCACCCTTTACAGCAGATTTAGTTCACAAACAACTGACAGTTTTGACCTAAATATGATTTTCAGTTACAATAATTAATCCTAAAATTCAACATTAGTAACTTACTTTTAGCAGCATCAGACGCGCGCGCGCTCACAAGATCTCCCGGTTCTTACTTGTGAATTCAGTTCACTGGAGACTCGCACTAAACGGTTCATTTGAATCAGTGAGTTGTCGACTCGAGAACAGCTGCAATCGGTTAATTCTAATTCGTGAATGAATCGTTTGGTGCGATTTGCGAACCGATTTAAAAGGTTCATTGAAAAGAATCAGTTCGTTCTTGAATCAGACACCGCTTCTGCGTGTCAGAGCACGTGATATATTATAAGGAGTAACGATATGTTTTATGAAATGTAGTGAAGTAAAAAGTACGATCTTATGCTTTGGAATGTAGTGAAGTAAAAGTAAAAGTTACTCAAAATAAAACTACTCCAGTAAAGTACAGATACTTGAAAAATGTATTTAAGTACAGTAACGAAGTAAAACTACTCCGTTACCACCACTGCAAACACTTGTAACAGGGTTCATTTTATTGGTAACAGTTATATTATTTTTTATTATATTATATAATATTTTTTTAAGATGATCAACAATTTGTTGAAAAATAAGCATCACATGTGGACAGTGACTTTCTAGGTGTTATTAATATTT